TGAAAAACATGTTTTTTGTAAATTTTTAAATCTCTCGAAGAAATTGGGCTACTTATTTTCAGTAAAAAATAAATGCATTTAAGGATTACTCTAATAGTCTAATTCATAATTTTTAAAAACAGGCCGATTGTGCTTTTTTTTTTAGAGTTAGAGTTATTTCATCGTGGATGTGTGCACAGTATAGCTTGACTTATTATTGTTTTTTGCTTCTTAAGCTCCTTCTGATGGCTAAAGACCAGATTCTGTGATTTTCTTCTAAACATGTTTTCTTCTGTGTCTCGAATTAAAAAAAAAAATTTTATAAATGTTAGGGGGCTTCATTCCTAATTCTTGATAAACACGGCAACCAATTGAATAAGTGCCCATTGGAATTTATGGGAAAACATGATTTCGACATACGGATGCTCTGGCGTATATGGACAAGGTTCAAGGACAAATTACGTCCGCATCTCGGGGCCCCACTAAAGATGGAATGTATCGTCCTCGCATTTCGAATGATTTTGAGATTTCAATCAGAAATTCTGTACAGTATTAGCGAGTAATTAACTCTCTCCTTTCGTGCCCATGAACTATATACGATAATATCAGCAAGAAAAATCAGAAAAGAGGCTAGCAGTGCTGAATAGAATTAAGAAAAATGAAAAAGTTCATTATTCTCTAAAGCTAAAAAATGTATGCTAGCTGTAACAATTCCAGCAAGAAATTCGATTAGTTGATGATAAATTACTCTTGATTTCTTGATTTAGCCTATTACCTGAACTTGACTTCACAATCCCACGCAAACGCTGGTTTTTGTTACTGTATTTACAGTATTTTATTTATTTCTGTTAAATTTTGAGGCTTTTTTGCAGAGTAGTCAATGTACGTACTAAGTTACACTAATGCTTGTGCTTTGCCCCGCGGAAAGAGAGTGCCGAATTGCGCACATGAAATTTAGTCGGGGCCAGGTTCCATTTCGTCGGTCCTTTTTTTTTTTTTGGCGCCCCCCGCTCTTTTTTTTTCGCGGAAAGGGAACGACGATCTGGTTGGCCCAGGCAACGCATGCTCCAATTCCTCGCCTGAGTTGCACTTCGCTCTTAGCATGGGCTCTACCTGGGCCTTTGCACCAGTTCGACCTCGTCAGTGTTGCATCAACGACCCGTCACTGAGCCGCGAATTCTTTCCCCCATGTTCGGAACTAATAATAACTTCCTTCACCCCCATTCCCCGCTCGCGGTCCTTTTAAGCGTAAACAAAGCTCATTCGCGTGTGCTTCATGGGGCTTTTTTTCCGGTACCACAAATCCGTTTCAACTCTCTCGCTTTCGGAGCTGATCAGATTACCCATTCTGTAGAGCAGGGCTTTTCAACCAGTGATATCCATACATACCATTGCTGGTGTACAGGTGCCTTATTGTAAGCAAGATTGTCTTATGATTAAGGAAAATATTGCCGACAGAGATCACAGTGTCGATCCGTAAAACTGCAAAAAATACTGTTATTGGCCATCTAGAAACCGTCCCGAGTATGAAACTTGTCATTTCAGTCCTGGCATATAAACATAGTGACATATACCTTTTAGCCGTTGTACCACTAGTGTTACTTGGTCATCTACGCGTCGCGCGAATAATACTGTCATGTCCTGAAAAGTGGTGCATTTTGCAGGATATGAAGGTAGAAAATGTATGCATTGGAGGAGGATTTGCGAATGCAGCGCAGAGCCAAGAGAGTGTTCAGAGCATAATGTTGCTGTTTTGAGATAACGCAAAATGGCTGTTTTACATATTTTTGTTTGGAAAAGTCTGTATTGTATTTTGATATTTGCCACAGTGATTTTGTTTCGAAGCGATCCTTTTCTTGCAGCTGAACTGCGATTACCAGCGCTTTACTGAACCATGCATTTGATTCCCAATGCTCAAGTTTTAAGTCAATCAGGGGGAAAGTAAGACACGCATGATTCAGAACTTGAGTTACTTCATACTTCTCCGATTGACGGACTTCGTACAGATATGCACACCACCTTAGAGGAGTAGCTTTCTGACTTCCGAGGTCAATGATATCGGATGTATCTGCCTGCATTGCCTGGACTATCAAATATAATACTGCACATGCAGTGCTTTCTGTACTAAAATTTATTCTGCAAGATAAAATTAAGGACTGGTCTGACAAGGTGATATATACACTCCAGTGAATCTAATACTGTAGTATACGTTCCCGGTCAGCATCACCAACTCCAAAGGAGATCCGCGGATGGATCATTCAACATCAACAGGAAATATGAACTTAGCTCAAGGCGAAGGTCTGCTAGGAATTGACTATAATCTGTTTTTATTATTTATGATAGGAACGGTATCAAAGAACTGTTGTCCTTTTTTAGCTAATATAAGATATATTTCCGAGATATAGCGCAGACTTGAGGGATTTTCGTCATAGTAACTTTCAATAGGGTTCCGGCAAAATGTATTGCAAAAATAAAGCTATTCAGCTGAGAAATATTGGGAAACACCATTTAGCAGCACATTAGCTCGAAAAGATGTTCCATCGTTGAGCGAAAATTGATATTATGTTCGCACAAGCTAACAAAATACTGTACAAACTTTCTCATTCCTTCTGCACTACTATACTGCATATACTGTACGGTGAAATTCCGGTTTATTATTTCTCAGATGATCGGAATTAGGCTGGATCAACATCACCAATCTGCAGAATTTCAAAACTGAAAATGTGTAATATTTTGATTTAAAAAAAGAACAACTGAACATCAAACATTTCAAATAAAATTTCCCCAGGTCATTTGAGGAATTCCAGATGTGTTACGCTTTTAGATTTGTGAATGTTGACAGTGCGAAGTGAATTAATTGTCGAATCACATTTTTTAAAGCGATTTTTTCTGATTTTCGAATAGAACTGGTGATTAATCAACGTTTAGCAAAGCCATCCTGCTAATATCGAGCTTCAGCCTTATTTTCCGCCGAATTAAGGGGGAGTATTGATTCAATATGTTTAAACTGAAAATGATAAAGCTCTCCAGTATAAAAACTTTAAGCTTACAATAATATAGAACTTTTATTTCTGTATTTACGGTACTTTCTACAAGCATTTTTCTTGTAAAGATTGCTTGGTCGATGCACCGAGGACGGATTACGCGCGGGTTCAGCTTAATATATTCATTTCACAGATTGAAAGTTTTGAAAAAGTTTTGTATGCGAGTTTATTTCAAATAATTAGCCGACTAGATAAATCATTAGAAGCCATATTTGAAAATATTTCGGAGATGAAAATTGATGTGGCATGCTTTTGTCAGTTTGCACGCCATTTGGTGAAAACTTCAACTGATCTTTTTTCAAGATTACCGTATTATGGTTTGATTGTTCACCAGCGCGCTGCAGCACTGTTGTAAGCAAAAAAGAAACTGCGTCGTTCATCGCGTAATGTTTCCGCGATAATTAAGATATCATCATTGGAAAAATTGATCTAACAACGTCGAGCGCAGCATTGAAATAACAAATTCCCTTCCACGTATTTTTTCAACAATTGTTTCAGAATTTTCGCTTTTTGCTTCTACGTGTATAGTACGTAGTGCAGTTTCAATAGTTACACGCACAAGTTGGAACTTTCCGGTTACAAACTTGATGAGCAGTACAGTACAGATACTGCACATCTGTTTGCTCTTTATTGTATCTGTGTTTCTGTCGTGCTGACTAATATTTCAGGATCAATAGACGCGATTGATTCCTTGTTTAAAATATGCAGCACGATGCAGACCATCTCGGCGTTCGGTTTTGGAACGAATGGAAAATTGGGGGAAATAAGTGAGGCTAATATCGAGGGCTCCATAGACGCAGTAGATTCTTTGGTTCCATTATCCATCTTGTGATAGGGTTTTAATGGGATGGAAAATTCAGCAAAAAATCGAGGTTCTCTGCGAGCTCCATAAAGTTAGCATTGATTTCATTCGCGACTTCTTGAATTCTACAATCACATGAACCAAAATCACGAAGTTTCACGCGGGAAAAACTAGACAAAAACAGTAGCTTTTGTATTAAATTTCCGAATATCGTTCGCATGTAACATACGAGTACAGTATATCAAAGCCGATTATAGAGTCACTAAAGTATTATCTGATGGTGGACCATTTTGGACAATATTCTGGCCCAAAGAAATAATTTATTGTACTGAGAACATTTGCGTGGAAAAAATTACGAATCCACTAGAGCTAAAAGAACTTGGGTCGAATGGGCAACGTCGCGGCATAAAAAAGTAATGTTGAGTTTTACAAAATCAGATCAACTTACGGCTTCGCGATTCACGGAAAAGTGGCTCGTCAAATCTTCTTCTGTGACTTTAAGGCTGAAATTCTGGGATTTTTCAATTCAATTGCTGTGACCAGTTTTTTTCTTTTTATTGAAAAAGTTGGAGCAGGTATTCCCTCGTTCCCGATCAGTGTCCCCAACGAGCGGTCAAAGCAACATTGCTCTCGGGCTTCTGGTGACGCGGAAGACGCGAGGAGAGCCAATCAAGAGCAGTAAGTCACTCGTCAGTTCCGTCAGCAACGATGCTATCGGAATACAAACGATCCTTGCTGGTTAATTAAAGCTGCGTCGAAGGATCATCTTGAACAGGAAAAAAAAGTTTAATAAGCAGAAACCCGTGTCACTGATGATCCTGAGGAAAAACGGGAAGGAATCCAAAAGCCTCGGCGGGTCCAAAAGCGTCGTCCGAAGGTCATCGATTCAACCATAGAACAAGGCCATGGGTGCGTATACGCGTCTATTTCGATTCTGTTTCCGGCAACCCGCGTTGTGGCATGCAGGGACGGTTTCCAATTTCCGGATCCTGCTAATGAGCAGATAGTCCCGCGTGCTGTTACCCGACCGGTTGTGTTCCCACATAGCGTCGATAGTTCCACACGTGAGCCGTAAATAATTCAGGACCCTCCTGTGGACATCGTTCTGTTCTCTCAGTACTTCGTCATAAACGATACATCGGAACCATTCCATCAGGTTTCAGGAGAAATAAAGCATGACATCGGCGAATAATGCATCGTCGAAAATATCCCCTCATGACGACCAGTACAATATCCTGATCGAAGGTCTTCTGGCAATAGCAAGAATTGTTGCTGCACGTTCGTCGTATGCCAGTACTGTACAGTACTTTGTAGTTCTGGAATTCTATAATTACTATTCTCCCTTTCACTCACCTCATTATTTCGTGAAAAAAAATGTTTAGAGTATTTATTCGGATATTTTTCGTCCGGCGAATTTTTCGACGTAATACAGTCATTTTGGAGCACTGCGGAATCTAAATAATTTCTCAAAATACTAAACCACTTGTAGATATAAATGTAGCCCACCCCTCCGTGGGAGACACCTAAACTTTTATGCCCAATTTGGATTTAGAAATTAACTGAGAAGTATGCCTCGGATATAGGAGTTTTTCTCTTTATCAATGAATGCTGGAACTGATGCGGGTTGCAACATGGCTATTGAAATTTTGTATATCTTACCAACAATAATGTTTGAGCACTAGACGCATGGGACACAGGATCGACTTTGAGTTGGGGACAAAAGCACACTATTTACCTAGTGTACATTTCAAAGAAATTTGAGAAAAGTTGTGTATTTTTTACCCTTTTCAGTAAATGAGGTAGGTTGTGCGCTCTGACTTGAAAGTTTTATATTTCCTGAAAAGTTTAAAATCTTTAGCGCACAGCATCAAAGCTGTCTCTGTGGGCATATTTCGACCTGGAGCCAAGATTTACACCAGTAGTAAATATTAAAAATTTGAAAATCAAAGGGCCACCAGCGAAATGATGACTTGGAAGAAAAATAAAACGTAGCAGATCAAGGTCCATTCGCAGGGAGTGCATTCCAGAAACGAATAGGTAGCAGGTATCTTCAAAAAGTACAAAAACACGATGCGCCCGACCCATTTAGTGGTTCTCTTTTCGGCCACGTTTTCTTCAACTGACAAGTATCGTTTTTCGCTCATGGCAGTACGAGATAGCATTTGTAGCCATGGTAAAATTTACTGCGAACAGTTTCCCACGAAAAAAGTTTATTTATAGTGTTCGGTAAGAGATACGTATGCAATATGAAAGATCTGTGCGATGAAGGATTAAACCAAAAGCATAAGATTTTAGTGAAGTTAAAATTCGTGGTCTACGAGCTCGTCGTTTATACATTTCTACGTCCAGTCTTTCAGAAGGTCGTGGGCACTTAAAAAAGTACAGTACTTGATGCATGGGTATTATTTTTTTTAAGGCTATGAATCCAACTAGTTCACGTTAATCCAATTTTTGTCACCAGCACATTCAAGAGTTTCATTTTCGGATGTGAAATTAAGAAAAAAGGAAAATTTATAAGCATGACAATCGAGAGGGGAGACTAGGATCGTCAATTTATACATGTTCATTCGTATTTGCATGTTGCTGTGTCAGTGATGCGAACGGAACCTTTGCTTGAATCTTTATAGGAGTTCCAATATCGACAGAAGCTGAGAAGAAAGAAGATAAACCGCAAGATATATTTAAACGAGGATTAGGCAGAATTTCGAACTTCCAGAGATCAACAGGAATCGGTAGGACTATTTACGTCGACGATATGCGCAAAAACGGACACGAGAATGGGGCCGACATGGCGAGGGACAAGTTCGACGACTGGAGCACCAGCACTGGCACTGATAGTCTCGACAACACGTCGCATCGCTTGCGTACCAACGAGCGACCGGGGTATTTAAAATTTGCTCTGAAAAGTGATACTCGATACTGGACCTCGAAAACGTGAAAATCTCAGCTAAGGAGTTATAAACAGATAATCATTGCGTCTTACTTTCCAAAAAATCAACCGTTTGGTATTTTAAATAGAAAAGGATGCATTCTTGCTTCATTATTTGGAGAAAAAATCCCAGGGTATTTCACTTATTGACGCATCAACCAGAGATCCCATCTATTTAAAGTCCCCTTTTCTTTTTACTCATTACGTACTTGAAACCAATAATCTTCGTCAGGAAAATTCCACGGATTACCGTTTCAATGCCCAGGCGCGAGCGAAAAGTCGCCTGTCCTGAAAACGCGGGTTTTCCCTATTCTCCCGAAATCAGTATTGTGTGGTGTTCTGTATAACACCAACATTTTCAACCGTCTTTCACATTTCCCACGAATTTCATGATTACTATATGATGCGGCGAAAATAATAAGCCTTCTTGTAATAAAGGGATCGAAAAAATGTAGGGCTATAAATATCTTCAATTGATATGAAATGTTCGGGTTATCCCACGAATTCCTCAAGTTTTTTTTTTTTTTGAGGGATCTTGAGCTCTTCTCTTGCGCAACTGCCGATTTTTTGTGAACTTCAGGCGGGTGTGCATGGGTATAGAAAGTGATTCCTTCTAAATCAAACTTTTCGCAGTTCTTCGCTTTTGGTCCCAAAAAATTTTGATCACCTGAGAAATCAAAAATTGCAGCAACAAAAAACGCAGGATGATGAAACTTTTATTGAAAGTTAGCTAAAGTGAATCCAAGAAATATATGCTGGTCAATTTGTTCCTTGCCTGGACTGGAGACAGATATCAGAATGTTCAAGACATTTGCAGTATAAAGGATTCACGACATAGGAAAAAATCAAATCCCACTAAAATCAATCAAATCATAAAGCAAAGAAAAACAAGTTGCCCAACTGCCGAACCATCTTATTCACCGTAATTAATTGCTGTGTCTATAAGAGCAATTACCTCCAAAAGCTGTATGCTCAAAACTAGTACTGCGGCCTACACCCAAGGTATTCGTATATAGGCCGCTGATTAAAAAATAGTTTGGCCAATGCCGGAGATAATTCCCCCGATCTTCCGTGATCTTGATTTTCCAAATGAAGAGACACTGTTCCAAGCTTCGTGCAGTTAGGATCAAGGCTGCTGACTGTTGATCCAAAGCAAGAAAATAATGTATGCCGAAGGGAGCAAGCCCGCCGTTGAATTAGTTCCAGGTTGAAATGTCTGCCCTGAATCATGTAGTGTACATGTCACCTTTTTTCCTCATATTAGTCCCGTTTTATAGACCCATAAATTTTCCCCCGAAATTGCTGCTCAAAATCATGGCGACATCTACAACCACTCTTGACCTAGAAGCGCGTAAATACGCTGTATCTCCCCGAATTATCTGTGGGTTTGCGCGTTCCAGTAGCGCGTGAATCACCCTGTATTGTAATGCAGACATCATTTTAATCATGAGTTGAGCTTTTATTTCGTTATTGTATCAGGACGGCTACGCTCAATCGGCCCGCAATACTCAACATCTCCCACGTCAACACCCTCGACATGAGCACAACGAACAGCCGAGCCCTACTGACGAGTGGCAAAGTGAGCTCTTCCTTCATTCGCACCAGCATTGTCCCATACGAACCACCAAGTCCGCCACCAATGCGACTGAATGGTCAGGTTCGAGCCAACAGCCTGCCGCGCAACAGACCCGCGAGACCGAACAGGCGCCTCTTTAGGGACGACTCGCACCTCGCGTCGAGCTCGGAAAGCGACAACTACGACCTGAGATGCAGGACGGCAGTGAAGCAAGAAGCAACGGTGTTGCCTCAGACGACCCGAGTTATTGAAGATAGCTTGGAATCGCGGACGCGAACTGGTCGCGGTAAGTCGAAGCCGAAGCGCCCGAGGACCATTAAGCTGTCCAAGCCAAGCATCGATTTACCCATTCCGCACATAACGTCGTCGTCGTACATGGGGAAAAGATACCATACGTCTCAGCGACCGACGCCGATCATCCCGGCAGGAAACGGCGACATTCCAGAGCCCTGTACGACGTGTGGCAGGCTGGACCAGCCGGAGCGTTTCCACTCTCACCCAGCCCATTCGAGACTCGGTCACACGCATAGAGTCTTACATCACCACAATCTTCAAGGTCCGGTTCGAAGAACCAAAGACCACGACAATAACGAGTCTTCGCACGTCAAAACCGTTCGGTCGGTCATCAAACCCGCTGCGATTCGTTATCAGAGGTAAATCATGTTCTAGAATCTAGACCTACGCTCACTATATTAGTTCTACGTGTACTACCAGTGGTACGCGTACCAGTAGTGCCTATGCCGGTGGACTCTCCTACAATGATTTTCTCTGCTTAACGACTTTCATTGGTCCCTCGCAGCTCTCTGCAACGAGATTTTCTCTATTTTTTTCTGTCACTCTGCAATACAGCGTACCTTTAGACAAGCAGGTGGGCTCTCTCTACAACTAAATTCTTTCTATTTTTGTCTGGTCCCGTGAATTTTGCTCACCTACTTGTCCCGGATTACGCTGCATTGCAAATACCTGTATAAAGGGTGGTGTGCGCTAAATGTAAGCATCTTCATTGATGATTCGTTTTAAACAGTAGAGAAAAGGGATTGGGCGGTTTATTCATGGTAAAAATGAAGCATAGAAAGGTTAAAAATCAATTAAGATCAAACCAAGTTGCCATTAAATACTGTATTGTATTAAAATCCAATTCATTTTGTAGATGTGGAGCGCATTCATATGATCGTTTTCAGTCTCTGGACATGTAGTGAAGCTTCAACGTCGTAAAATCCTGTAATTAGCACAGTTTAAAGGAAACCTAACTATTTCCCGCAATTATGGAATTTTCTGTGCAAAATTTTTTCATGCTAAACAAATTTGAATTTGGTTTTTCTAAAAGTATTGGCTGCGTATGACTCAATCATAGACATGATGAAATATTTCATGACATCATCGGCAAACCAGTTGGAATGAACTTGAAAGTTGTGTGCCTTGAAATGTAGACAATTCAAGTCATCCCCACGGTAACGGTCGTGTTTCTGCTGATGCGGATATTTATTATCAAGTTTCGCCAAAATCTACATATATACTGTATTACAAACGGATTGAATGCACCTAACGGATATTTTTAGCCACCACCCGAGTCGTACACCGAAAAAGTAGCAATCCATCATCCCGTCAAGCAAGGAATCCGCCAAGTCTGAAAAGATTTCCCTTCATTTTTCCAACTTGAATCGTTTGGTCAATGGTTTGCTGAAATTTCAAAAGATTCTTTCCGCCTCAGGATTTCGCAGGAAAAACTGCAATTGTAATTTCTGGACTTTCTTCGATTCTCCCTCGAAATATAAGTTCTACCCCAAAACATAAATCGGCCCATTTTCGAAGAAAATACTACGTGACAGAAGGCATCACTTACTTTCTGGAAAACACGACATTTTCGCATTGCTCCTATAGATCACGTTTTATTCATGAAAAAATGTTATCCGTAATTCCGCACTAAATATTTTGTGAAGCGCAAGTGGAATTATACAACGATTAGTATTTTCTTGCATGCGAATGAGCTGAAAGATTCTTTCATCTCCTGAAAGGAATTTCAAGACATTGAATATACCGTATACAATATTCAAGTCATTGAATATTTTTGGAATTCAATGTCTTTCGTATGATGGAGATTAAGATCAATAAAGGCGAGTGTCATGCATGACGTGAAATTATAGAACGACAGTGAAAATTATAGGCAGACTATTTCTTCGTACTCGGAGGTAGTGAATGGAAGGAATGTTTTTGTGATTCAATTTCTTGCGTAATGGAGATTAAAATTAATGAAGCCGAGTCGTGTCATGCATGACGTTCAAAAGCAACAAAAATTTTCACATGGAGGCCTTGGCGACGGGTTCCCACCGCAAAATCAATCCCCGGGAAATTCGATCGCGACGGCGAGGGACACTGACGTGACTCGTAATGCACTGTAATAAAAAAAAAACATAGCCCCCTCTGCTATTGCGCGACGCTGACCTGTAATATGTGCCACATGGCAGCAGCATATGACGGAGGGGTGCGGGGGTATTAGAGAATAACGCAACGCACGCGAGGAGAGGGAACCATGATCATATGACACAAGTTTGATCAATCCGAGTTGGGGGGACGAAGGAAACACAGCACGAGCCCTGGTTTCAGGGACTGTCCGAACTATTCCAATCTTCCGGAATCATCCCTTCAGCAGATCCGGATTTATTCGCTAAAAACGTAGTGCATGACGATGAAAAGAGAAGGCGAGGTGGGCTGCTGGACAACCAAATGCTCTTGATACCTGTAATTCAAACCATGATCAAACGCAAGTGCTGGAGCACTCACTCTGAAATAAAACCACAATAGTATTGAACAAAACTGCTGAATTCCCTCTTTATCGATCTAAGTAATCTATCGTTTCTACGTTAGAATTAAGAGCGTTTGGAAAAGATCGAGGACATGGGTCTGAAACAGTGTGAAATCACAAAAGTTTACTGTTGTAGCCCCATCATCTTCCAGGACACTTCACTTTTCCCACGTGTTAATTTTTCTCCCGCGCACTTTTTCCTCCATATGTTCTTCTTGTACGATGGTCTTTTGTTCCATGCTCTTATGATCAACTTCGAAAACAGATGCAGTACTTCTTTAAATTTTTTGGTATCGACTTGATCTTCCTTTTCTTTGAAGGAAATACAAGACTAGTATGCAGCAAAAAATACTAATTTAGAGGAACTGTTTTTTTTCCGGCTCCAGCAGAAAGCAAGAGTTTCTGCGTCAGAAGGAAAAGCCAAGCTACAAGCACAAAAATCGAGATGATTTCATCTGCGGAATGAGTTCAACGCCGGACTTGGAAGTTAAACTCGACGTCAACTTCAACAACTTGACGATAGCTGCAGAGAAGAAGACAAACGACAAACGTAGATAGAAAAGAAACGCATTTTAACTAGCAGTGCAACTTGGATTAATACCTTGGGTCACTTTTTCAGACCAGAAAGAAGAGATATCTCGAACTGAGCACCATTACAGTAAGCCCGACTTTACTGGAACGTTGGCAACGTTGAATAACGCAAAGAAAACGGATGCAGAGCCGCAGAAGATTGACAACAAACGTACCTCGAATAAAAGAGCCCATCAACGCCAAAAAATAATTCCAAATGGAAGTGATCTTGATGACTTGGCAGATGATGAGAAATCACCGGAGCCGAAGCCGAGAAAACTTGTCGATTCGCATTTACTGTGTAAGGATTTCGAATATTATCCAACTCGGATTATATGAATTTGTGATTTGACCGGATTCCATAATCTGCTTGTATACTCAACTGCCAGAAAGTTTCCCAAATTCAAGAATAAGTTCTGACGAAGACGTGGCGTATCGTCGACCTTTCCAAATGTTTCTATGCGCACAAGATCGTTTGTAATCAAACATGAAAACTTTCCTTTGAATCAAGCGCAGTGCAGTATTCAGCAATTCAAGTTCTGTTCATTGTAATACGCGTAATAATCAACGATTAATAAAAAAAAAATTTCAGGAAATTATCAGTTGATCAGATACTTTAAACGGCGATTTTTTCTCTCAATAATGAATAAAAGTTATTCAAGATTAATCGAAATTCCCCTTCTCGGAGTTTTACTTCACATTCCTCGGTCATTTCATCCCTCGTTTTAATTTTTCTAGAACTGGGACTAAAATTGTCGCTGAATGGTTTGCTCCTCGAATTTTAAAATTCCAAATGTGCATAATTTTTTCAGCCGACTCAGAAATAGCGAATATGAATCCGGAACCAGCAAAATTTTCGGACCGCTGTTACCGTTGCTACTTTTGCGGCGGAAAGTACGGTTCATTGTCCTTGGCGATCCATGCTGAGAACTGCTTAAAGGTGGGTTTTCTTCAAATTCCAGGTGTGACATGTACCTTCACGGTTTTCTATTTCAAAGTATGTCATTATCGTGACTAAGTACTGTGGCGCATGATGTGCCTAACTGCTAGTTTATTGAGGCGATAAGACCTTGCTCTTAGAGGAAATCAAAGAACTCTCATCAACGAAGCCTGTGCACGTTCGTATAAAGATTATTTCGGGTGAATCCGCGCTTTAAAATTCCAGATTTAAATTTATTGTGAAGTGTGGGATCTCCGTAACAGGTTTATGCAGCTTAAACTTCGTATTACCGTCTGTCTACCCAGATCCAGGGCAAATCAATGTAGTAAAACTTGTGGCATTTAACAGTGCCTTTATTGCTCAATCCTATATTCTTACCACGGTTATGCTTTTCCACGCACGCCTTATGGTTTCTTCTTGAACCCACAAAGAAAACTGATGTCTACGTTGGTCTTCATTTGTCTCTCTATAGTGCATGCGTCAAGATTTTATACCAATAAGGGACCTCATCTGGTCTTGAACAAAAATATAATAATCCATAGACAAAATCTGAAAATCTGACAAGTACTGTATTCCTTTAAAAATGCTGTAGAGAAAATAATTCCAGAAGAGCATTAGCTGGGGGGTAATCATCCGCAAAAATATCCGCTAACATTGAAGAATGCCCAGAATAAACGCAATTCTGAATTTGTGACTTGACTTGTCACATTAATTGCAGCGACTTTCAGCAGCAGAAAGGTTTATCAACAGCAGTGAGTTATTGTAACTTTGCAGAAAGATCAGGTTCGGCGAATAGCGTTGACACGGCCCCAAAACCCCGGTAACACACGCACGCAACGTGAAATCAAAATAATTTGCAGGGTTCAAGATCCATAAAGGAGGTTTTTATTTGGCTCTCACATAAAATAATGTACTGCATTTGCTGCCTAAAAATATTCAGCGTTGGCGGAGAAGTCGAGATAATCTTCCGAAGCGACTGCGCATACCGACACCCGAACCTCCCCCAATGGATGATCCAACAAGAAACCGCGACATGTGGAACGAGCTGGCAATCGAAGTTTTCAACGTGAGTCATGCTACACAAGTTCTGGAAAATGGCGTAGCTTATGAAGATTTATTCCATTATAGAAACAAGCCAATCCCGAGTGTCCAGACTGTGGAAGAAGATTCGGCGTAGACCGAATCGCGCAGCATTCGAAGAGCTGTGCGAAGATGAAGCGCAACGAGCCTCAGCGTCCTCCTACACCCGTAAGATTCCGTATTTTTAAAAAGCTTTGTCTGAAATACTGCATTGAATCCAGTTGAAAAATTTTCGTCATTTTTGGAAGACGGCACCCGAATCAGTTACGGTACTTAAACCCAGCTGAACAGGGTTAGAACAGTAAAAAACAGACGGGCATTTACGCGGCGGAATTTTTGAAAAAGTAATACAGTACTAACAACGAAGAAAACTAAGACCTATTCAATAAAATCTCAAATACAGTACTGTACTTTAATTTATAAATGTACGGCTTTTGCTGTAAACGCCTTGGTTTTTTTCTTGATTCTGCCAATTTATCAATCCAAGATGGTCAAGTTTTGCTTTATACTAAGCTTTTGATGGCGGAAAAGGTTTTAAGTGTCCTCCTTCCTTTTAATGTCAGCTTGGAGTAACTTCTTCCGTGTGAATTATTTTTACACGGAAATATGTATTTTATATGTAGAGTATTTAGACAAAGAATCCCAGAAAATAATTAGCTATGGAGAAAACGACAACTATACTATAGTGTTTGCTTGAATGCTTCCTTTGTGTTTGAAATCTTGACGAAATGTTTCAAATTAATTTTGACAGGATGTAACATTCCGTATTTGCTGGATAAACAGCAGAACGACAACACGGAAATAATATTGGAACCTATTCTCATAGCCTTTTTTCAAGACACCGTGGGGGTAACTCTTATGGTGGGAAGTTGAAAACGCTGTAAAACAAGATTTTTTTTTTTAAGACAATGGAATTTAGGTATCCTTAATTTGATTTTTACAGTATTTTGGTAGTGGCATACGTTTATAGGAGACAACATTGTCCCTAAATCATTATTTCACGTTTTGTTTGGTCAACTATTTGTTTGAAAGACAAGAGAAAGTTTGATTTCTGATTCGCTCCTCCATGTTTTCATGACATCAGGTGAAACGACCTCCGCCGCATATTCCATGTCACATTTGTGGTCGCCTTTTCGGAACGGCGTCCATTGACATCCACATCCCACATTGCGAAGAAAAATGGGAACGGGAAAACAACGATCTGCCGCCGCATCTTCGCAGGCCGCCACCAATGCGACCGCAGTTTGTCTTCAAAGGTCAGGGCAGCAAAAGCCTCTGTAGGAGTATTCAATGGGATTACTAAATTTGCATCACTCGCGGCGGCTTTCTGTTCTTCCACCGATTTACTGAATAAAGTGCATTGTTGACTTTTACACCTCACCATCACCGTGTGCGAATCATTCACAATGCGTGTTATTCATGGGTGTGTGTCTGAATGTGCGTGATTTTCACAGCCGAGCACAACCTGCACAACAAGAGCGGAAGGATACGAAGCGTGTTCGGTAAACCGAGATGCTTTTGTGTCCTGAGGCGATTGAAATCGTTTTTTGCCTGACAGATAATGGAGATATTGACTATGAGGAGACACAGAACGTTTTCTGGCAGTCACACGCGGACCAGCTGGTTCCTTGTCCAAAATGCAAAAGAACTTTCTACCCCGACCGGCTGGAGAAGCACGAGCCAACTTGTCGAGGACCACGATGAGGTTTTTTTTTCGCTACAAGAGTGGACAAATATTTGGGAAATGAACGTTGTGAAAACTTGTTTCTATTCATTTGCTTCCTTTTGTGATTATAGCCTTATTTATCGTATCGGAACGCATGCAGTTCACATTGGTTGCTAGAGAACCATGAATTCAACCTTAAGCAAAAAAAAATCAGCAATCTGTAATTTAATTGTAAGTCTTTAAAGATGACAAGATCAAAGTTCCCATCGAATCTTTAAAAACGAGTACAGTAATGTGTTGAAAGTTGCACTGATACTCCATGAATATGTTTTCACACCCAGCGTCAGTCTCGGACTGTCGGGAACTTATATCTCCCATTATAATAACGATCCCATCAATATTTTTTCGACAGGAAATAAGAAAGATCAATATAGCTCCGTAAAATATTTGTTGAAATGAAAATCGCCACAAAAGCCCGAAGAAGTTGTGTAAAGTAAGAAGTTTCTTTCGCTTGATTGATACGGGCATCGCACATCAACATGAAACAACTCATCTCGAGTTTCTTTTCCAGCATTGTACAGAGGTCGCACGTATATTAAATTTACAGCACATGATGTGCGTGGTATGGTTGGTACCTGATCAAAATTAGCTATAAACCGAGTTCTGGCCTTCAAAAAACTCTTGAATATTTTTATCCGAATGGCCATAAAAACGATTTATTGAGAAATTTCTGTGGGTTTTAAATCATCGAACACGTTTTGGAGGATGAGAAGCCTCTGAAAGTATGGTACAGAAAAACCCCGGTATGCCATGCCGTACATATTTCGAATCATAAATATCAGGCCAGCGAAAGTTGATTCCATTTGTATACCTATAAACCTTCAAACACCACAAAGATTTCTAAAATCCACCGCAGATCTGGTCTGAAACACACGTGAAGTGATGAAAATCTTGAGGTGGAACAATCCCTGGTACTGTATTGTAATTAAAAATTAACCGTCAATGTTCTCTGCATAAATTCGGATTAACTTCACATCTGCATTCATCACAAGAAATCGCTTCCTGCGACTTTATCGAGTGTCTCTACAAAAAACGGAGCTGCATGGTCGGATGCAGAAAATTCTTTCTCATCTTCGCCTGTGGACGACCTTCAAAGCTTTAACAAAAATTTAATCGCAAATTTCTTCCACGGAACGTCCAGATCGATGGAAAACAAAGATGGAACGCCGAACGAACCTTTGCGTTAGTGCAGTTCTTATTTTTCTCAGCTCTAATTTTACGGCATTTTATCAAGTCATATTTTAGATCAGCTTCGTGTTTTCCGAATTGGATTATTTCGGTGGGGAATCCCGATAATCCGGCATAATAGTAATCTGCCTTATTAGTCTAATAATCATATTTCGTCTACAAAATGCAAATTTTGGTATCAACTTCCCTTGAAATTTGTAATAATGTGACATGGTATGACAGAAATTCTTGTGAAAGTGCATCATCCAATAAAAGGAATAACTCAATCAGGGTATAAAGAAGAAGATTGTGCGGTATGTCGGTCACTTCAGTTTCGCGCAATGAACCAAAATTTGGGCACGCTGGGTAATCAAAGCCGGAATGATTATACAGTAAAATCTCCTTACAACAAATACTGTTACAACAAATTTTTCGATACAACAAACTTTTTTTCAAGTCCCAGCAGAAAGCCTATAGACTACATGTTAAAAAAATCTCGTTATAACAAACTTGGGAATTCTGTTATAACAAACTTTTTTTGACACAATTTTTTTGGTTTTTGTGGAAAAATTAGGAAAAATTACTTGAAATTTGTTTGTGTTATTCACCATTGAAGCCTGAATCAAAAGAGGCCTCAATAGAGGCCCAAATGTTTCAAAATCTCCATGGGATCCACCCAGGAGAGATAGTTTTTCCACCCTTCCATGAAACCACTCCCCTGGAACACAGCAAAAATTGCATGTAGAATTGTTTGTACCCTTGGAGGTTAATCCAAGCATTCTCTTTCCCATGAACTTGCAGGAAGGACAGTCCAATAACAAACTTTAATCCAGTAGAATAACTGCCCCAACAGCAATGACTTCCCTGGAATACATTTTTAAAAATTTACAGGATCAAAGCATGAACCAAGAAGTCCACAGAATCCATCCAAACATCCAACCTAGGAGCAGTTCCTCAGTGTTTTCTGAAGAATAAAAATAAAGATGCACACCTAAAAGATTTAAAAATTTTCAGGTCCCATTGTGAAAGAGGTTCCAGTACAACTTTAAACAGTGACTGCTCAACACAAATTTTGTGAACACTAGAATTTTTTTACTTTTTAATTCTGGATACTGTGGAATGCGAAGAATTGTATGGAAAGAATTGCTGGTAAAATTAAGGAAAAAAACGTTGGCCACACAAATCAATTGTAATTTTGAATTGTTTGTGTTGCCCACTTCAGTGCATTTTTTCATTGCTTTTTTTCCTGTGTCTCTATAACACAGCAATGCATGTCAGTTGTATGAACAGGGTTACAAAAATCAGTCAAATTTCTCAAACAAAATGTTTGCCTTGCCTCTTTATTGTATAAAAATGTGTCAATTTTCTTCTGGAAAATGAACAATCATGAAAAGAAAAAAAATTGAGCAAAAAGATGCATCATTTAGCTTAGATTCATGGTTTAACCCTGCAGTCATGGCAAAAATCCTTCCATATTGTTTTTCAAAATGATTTTTGGCAGTCCACAGAATGTGGAATGAAAAACTGCAAAAAAGAAAATGCCAACAATAAATTCTTAATAAGAAGCTAAGCCTTTCTGCTGCAGTTGCTGGCAGCACAAAAAAATAAGGTGGCAAGTAAAGTTGGAATTATGCCTGCAACTTTGTTAACAATTTTGAAAAATTGGTCAAAAATTAAAGTGTGTGACTTTGACATGGGACCTCATTGCAATAAGCAAATGTGGACTGCTACTCATGAAAACCTGGACAAGGCTGTTTTTGCATGGCTTCAAGAAGTACCATCTAGCAAAATTCCTATAAATTGACCCTTAATTCAAGAGAATGCCAGGCAGTTGGCACTTTCTTTTGACCATAAATCATTTCTAGCTAGTGTTGGGTGACTTAATTTTTCTGTGATTGATTTTGAATTTCAGCTAAAGTGATATGTGGGGAAGAGTCAGCAGTTCTCACCACAAAAGTGAATGAGTGGCAGATCATTGAGATTTTAAAAAGTATTGCATCTTACAGCCCTGACAGCATTTACAATGCAGATGAAACAGACATTTTTTCTTAATTTTTACCAAATTGCACATTGGCTGTTAGAAATTATTCTTTTCATGGTAGCAAAAAATCAAAGCAGAGACTGACAGCCCTCTTTGGTTGCAATGCTTCAAAGATAGATAAGTTGACTCCACTCAGCATTGGAAAATCAGCAAAACCACCTTGTTTCAAGAATTTATAAGTGTGACTGGATGACCACTGCAATTTTTGTTAATAACGACTTCGTCCAGTTGTTCCTGTACTTTTAATTTTTTCCAAAATCTTGCTTGTTTGTGACAACTGCTCAGTCCACACTATTCTTCTTGCCTAGAAAATGTGCAAGTAGAGTATCTGCCACCAAGCTGCATTGCAATTATTCTGCCTCTGGACCTGGGCATAATACCAACTGTGAAAGTTCATTGCAGGAACATTTTTTTTATAGAAAATACTTGCAAACATTGCATATGATAAAAATGGATACTGACATTGACATCAAGCAAGCTATTGAAATGATTGCTTGTGTCTGGTCAATTAAATTTTTTCTCATGCTCTGACATTTCAGGAGATGAAAAATATGATCTACTGAAAAAAGTTGAGGATGCATTGCCAGCAGCAGTGAATAAGAATTATATTCAGAAGAAAATCAGTGATTTTTTCAAACAATAATTCAAGTTTTTAAACTGAAAGACAATCCTGATTCCAAATATATGCAGATCTGAGCTGAAAAAATTTTTCCAGTAATTTTTTTCAATAATCTTGTTACAACAAATTATCCGTTATAACAAACTTTTTCTGCGGTCCCCAAAAGTTTGTTGTAACGAGATTTTACTGTATACATAGTTTTGGAAAAATAACATAAAAATAAAATATTGCGAGTATTTTTGTCATATATCAAAAACTTGAAAATATACACAATAAAGGTAAGCGGACAAACAATGAGTTGAAATGTTCAACTGATTATTTGTCTGTTCATTAGTTGTTCCAGGTGATCCTTTTGCTGTCCCTTGTGGTAATGGGTACTTGGAGTACTTGTGTCCTCAAGGGAGATGGTGTTGTCTGCGACAATATGTGTGGAGACAACATCATCCTGGCATTGGATCATGGTCGACGCGTCATTTTCAGTGGAAAGAACTTGTTTTTGGATTGCGTCTGTTTGCTGCAGTTAAAGGTGAGGTTGCTGCTCACAGGTGTAAAGGTTGTTTGTTGTTTTCACTTGTGTCCATGACCTCCTCAGGTGGTGCAGCTGCTGCAACCTGTGACTTGTTTTGGGCATCAAGAGGGGCTGGACAGCGTTGTCATCCTTGGGCATTTTGTCTTGACAACGTCAGGAGCTCAACTCCACCAAGGAAGTTTTTTTTCAGTTCTTTTTCTCTTTTCACAGGCCAGCCAAGAAAATTAATTTAAAGAAAAGTGAATGATGAATTTTTCTGTCTTGTTTCTTTCTTAGCTACAAGCTCAACAATGACATCAGTTTTGAGGGTGTCTCAGGTGACAACAATCACTACAGAGGCTGTGATTTGTCATTCATCAGCTGCCAAGGATAAGGAGATCCTAGCAGCTATGCCTACCGTGGTCCCTGAAGTGACCATTTGTGTGAAGGATGGACAACTGGAGGCAAGCATAAAGTGGCAAGACAGCCATGAAATTTCTGATTGTAGCCTGCGGAGGATCTGGGGTTGTTTCAATCCTGGTTTTTCTGGCATGGATGGCTCAACAAGTCTACTTGAAAGTGATTAAATGTTTCAAGGACTCTTTTCTTGGTTCAAAAAGATTTTTCAGAGTAAAAGAAAAATAGTCACAAGAAAATTAGTCTTAAGAGAGAAAATTTTATATTTCTTCTTTTTTTAGAAACA